TGAAAGCAGTCTTACAAGGGAAATTCATAGCAGTGAATACACATACTAGGAAAACAGAACGAGCCCAATTAAACAACCTGATGCTGAACCTCACACTTCTAGAAAAAGAAGAACAGGACAACCCCAAAGCTCATACAAGGGAGGAAATGATAAAGATCAGAGGAGAAATCAGTGCAATGGAGACTAAGAGAATGATACAAAAAAATCAATGAAGCCAAGAGTTGTTTCTTCAAAAGAATCAACGAAATTGACAAACCCTTAGCCAATCTTACCAGAAAAAGGAAAGAAAAGGCTCAAATCCATGCAATTAGGAATGAAAAGGGTGAAATTACAACAGACCCAGCAGAAATCCAGATGATCATCAATACCTACCTCCAGAACCTATATGCCAATAAGATGGAAAACACTGAAGAAATGGACAGATTCCTAGATACATATGAATTACCAAAATTGAACAAAGAAGACCTAAAAATTCTAAACATTGAAGCACTAGCAGGTCATCCATGGTCCCCAGAGAAAGTAAACACCCGTAGAGTCTTCCGTTAAACACCTACAGAGCTCTTAACATGTGCCAGCACTGTTCTCAGCAATGTGTTGGCAAACACACAACAACCTTGCCATAATAGAGGATATAGAAGAGGGAGACAGACAACAAACAGAATAAATAACTATATTTTGTTGGAAGATGATCAGTATTGGGCACGTTGTAAAGAACAAAAACTTGGAGCCCGGCAAGTGGAGCAGGGGTGATAAGAGTGCTTGCTGGTGGATGCATTGAGAAGGTGGGATTTAAACCAAGACTTGCAGAGAGTAAAGGAAGGCATTCTGTTGCTTCCTAGTCCAGTCACGTCCCAAGCAGAGTGCTCGGCTAGTATGCAGCCCCTGAGGTGGGTGAGGGCTGTCATGTTCAAGGAATGGTGTAGAGGCCAGTGTCACAGGACCAAGAAAGAAGAGTTGTCAGTGATGAGGTCAGAGGGGTCATGGATGGCAAGGAGAGGCAGATTTTAGCACCTCAAAGGCCATTTTACAGATTAGTTTTTATTTTGAGTAAAATGGGAGTAGAGTTTTGAGCAGAGTAACTCTGCCTTTTAAATGGCTCTGGTTGTCGTGTTGAAACCAGATGCAGGTAAAATAGAATCACGGACCAAGTGGGAGGCTGTTACATCATCCAGATGATACTTGTACCAGGGAAGTCGTAGTGAAGGCAGTAAGAAGTGGATTCTGGATCTCTTTCAAAAGTAGGATTGCAGGGATTTCCTTCCACATTTGACATGGACAAAAAGAGTATGTGTAATCAAAGAGGCTTTGAGCATAAACAAATTAAAGAATGGAAATATATCTGGGCTGCAGACATAAATTTAATGATAGTAGTTAGAGCCATGATCTTGCTGGATAAGATCTTCAAGGCAGTGGGTGAGTTAGAGAAGACCCAGAACCAGAATTGCACCCTGTGCACTCCCAACATCATGAAGTTGAAGGAAGAAGAAACAACAGAAGAACATGTGAGGGGCCAGCCAGGGCCATAGGTGGAGAACCAGAGCTGCACGGTGTGCTAGGAGACAGGTAAAGAAAGCATTGTGGAGGAAGTGATCGGTGAGGTCAGTGCAGCTGGCATATGAAGAGGGTGGAGACAGAAGCAACCCTTCAGCCTCCCAGCAGAGACAAGGAAGTGGAAGAGGAGAGATTTCTGACTGCTTCTACTCCTGTGAGACAAGAAGCCAAAGTACGGCCTGTTAAGTACAGAGAAAGGAAAAGGGGTTGAGGATTGAGGCAGGAGGGAAACGTGCAGTTTTTTCTAGAGATTATGGTGACTCTAGGAGTGAATTGATGAAGTCAAGTGATGTGAGGATTGCTGAGTTGGACTGCAGTCTGCATTAAGGTCTGTGGACATAAATTTAAAGTGAATCTGTGTGGTTGGGTTTTTTGTTTTTTAGAGATTTTTTTCTATATATCCAGGTGATGGGGGTTGTTACAGAGTAATTAAAGAATTAGGAAATTGAAATTACCAAGAATTACGGCCAGAATAGTGGTAGAAAATGAGACAGTGAGACTGGTGTGAAAATCTTCAGGAAGTGAAGTCTGTTAAGTGCAGCAGTGAGTGTTGGGGAATCTAGTATTCAAACAGAGTGTACTTTTGGGGGTCTATGAATTGCACCATGTAGTATGACCCTGGCTCCTTCATTCCTCTGGTATTGAATGAATGTACCATGCTTTACCTATCCACTTTACTATTGTTAAGGATTTGGGGTGCTGTTGACTCAGGGAAGAAAAAAATCCCAAAGTGAACCTGAGCCTCTTATGCTCATTAACCCACTGCAAAAGCCTTGGAAACCTGCCTTTCACATTGCAGAGGGTATGGGTGATACATCAAGACAGTGAACCTTGTTCTGGCAGGAAGATAGGTATGGTCAGATTTCCTTGAAGACAAGCCTAGTCTCTGTCCATCTGGCCAGTAGTCTTCTCATCATTCCCAGGGCTTCTCCTCTTCAGTAGACCCTGATTTTCATATTTTTGTCTCCCCAAAACACTGAAATTGGCAAAATACTGACCAGGCATTTTAACCTCTAGCAGTTGCTTTCTGCTGGTTTCTTAATATTAACACTGAAGGAATTAAAGGAAAATGATGCACAGGATGTAGAGCTTAGTTTTGGAGGTTCACTTCTGCAGTTCATTTTTCTCTGGGATTTTGGTACCTTAAGTCATAGCAGCTTCATAAACCTGAATTCTTGTTTTGGTTTATTCAACTCAAGGAGATTTTAAGCTTTCCCTTGGGTATCTGCCCTATGCCACAAACCCCCAAATGTTCTGATGGAAAATTACTGCAGGACAATCCCCCAAATCCTTTGAGATTCTGGCCACTTAGTCCAGGCTGTCATGGTTGCTTTCAACAGCTGTTTTTGTTGATTTATCTAGCCAGCTTAGCTGATCTCAGTGGAAGGAATTGTATTTTTAAAGTAAAATAGTATACTTACAGAGAAGTTTGAAAAGTTATAATTAAAAAATTAAGGAATGGAAAATTTGGGAGTTCTCATGAAACCACTGTCAGTATATTTTGTTAAATATCCTTGCCCAAATGCCACCCATTGGAGGAAGCCTGCCATAGCTCCTTTTACCATACTGTTCTCTGCTGCAGCACACGAGGTTTTGCCACGTGGTTCTGTTAGTTCTATGTGTATTTCTCCTTATATCTGTGAGCTCTAAAATAAGGGCAGTCAACACAATGGTTCCCATCTACGATACTGGACAGGTAGTGTGTGTATTTATAGATGCTGTATTATAAATTGTCCCCTAGCTGAATATACTCTTGAAGTTAAGTGCAAAATTTTCTTTCGTATTTCAAGTTTTAGAGTAATGATTTTGTGCTTGAGGCTGTACATAGCATAGTCTAGGGAAACAGAACGGCAGAATTTTTGGTCTCAAAGATATAAAATAGCCAATAGTCTTGTTGGGAAATCACAGCATGTATGATGGATGCATGAAAATTCCAGAAGTACCATGCTGACAGCTCTAGGGGATGCTCTTGAAGTGCAGCGTGAGGGTCTCTTAGATCTGTGTGAGGCAGTGGCCGGGCCTAGGCCTCGTTGGTGCTGTGCAGATCAATACTAATTGTAAATGTGTCATTACATCTCAGTTGTTTGTTAATTTCAGGTGACTCTGAGTGAAGGTCCTCACCATGTGGCCTTGTTTAAAGATAGTTCCCGGGAGTTTGATCTTACCAAAGAGGAGGATGTAAGTAGTATTTGTCTAGGATTTATATGTGTAACATTATAATCCCTGTGAGTTTATAGGACAACTAAATGAAATGTTTCCAAACTAAGGTTTTCTACGATTTTGTTGTTTTTCAATAACAGCTTGCAGCATTAAGACATGAAATAGAACTCCGAATGAGGAAAAATGTGAAAGAAGGTTATACTGTTAGCCCGGAGGTAAGGGCTGCAGTTCATTTCAACAGTATGTCATGGGAATGCAGTGTTTATAGTTTCAAATAAGTCATGGGATTGATATTAATGTTTAGATTACAGCTGTTCCAAGATACACAGTTTTTTTAAATAATGTATCATTTTATGCATGATTTTCTAGAATAATTATTTTAGAATCAAAAAAAGAATAAGTTTTTTCTGAGTGCCATATCTGAATGGAGAGAGAAGGAATTTTCAGAATGTATATCACCAAAAATTTTTTTTAGCACACTCCCCCCAAAATGTATTTTTTTCTTCCTGAATAGACCATATCATTAAATGTAAAAGGCCCTGGACTACAGAGAATGGTGCTAGTTGATTTACCAGGTGTGATTAATGTAAGTATATACAAAACATGAATTTCATTTTATTTCTATTGTGGAAAACACTTGTAATGACATTTAAAATCTTTTTCTTCAAGACTGTGACATCAGGCATGGCTCCTGACACTAAGGAGACTATTTTCAGCATCAGCAAAGCTTACATGCAGAACCCTAATGCCATCATACTCTGTATTCAAGGTAAATTGTGGCAAAAGATTTTAGATACCCTGATATGCTTTCCAAGCTTTGTTCTAAAAAGTGCTTGTTACATAGACATACAAGACAAGTGTTTTTACCTTTTTGCATGTTCATTTTATAAGTACAATAAATAGAATTGAAGTTGGGGTTATTTTAATAATTTTCCCCTTTGGCATCATAGAAATTTTTATTGACTGGTATTTTCTTTCATAAAAAAGTGAATATATTAATAAAATGTTTATTTCTATGATATAGACATAGGTATAGCTTATACTGAGTTTTAAAAATCTCTTTGCAATTATTACAGTTTCATCTTTCAATTGTTTTTTCAGATGGATCTGTGGATGCTGAACGTAGTATTGTTACAGACTTGGTCAGTCAAATGGATCCGCATGGAAGAAGGACCATATTTGTTTTGACCAAAGTGGACTTGGCAGAAAAAAATGTAGCTAGCCCAAGCAGGGTAAGCGCAAGTTCTTTATTATGAGAACAGACTCTTTGTGCAAGCTCCAGCTCTGATAGGGATTGGTTATGTAAAAAATAATAAGTGCATATGCTGATATATAGTCACTGACTTCATTTGTTTTTCTTTCTTCTTTCTTCCTGTCTTCCTTTAGTTGATGTATACAAAATAATGCTAGTATGGCTTCATTCCTTAATTTATCAAGACAATATAACAGATTGTTATAGTACAGAAGACATTGCATTGGGAGTCAGGCCCCAGCATTTTTATCCATGTTCCCCCAACCGGCTCTGTGTTCTTGGGCAAACCTAGTCACTTTTCTGAATTTAGTCAGTCCAGGGTACAACTCATTAATCTAGCTGGCTAGATTAGATCTAAGGTCATTCATTTCTGAAATTCTGTGAATTCTATACATAGTATTCACTGTTCTCTATCTGTATTTTTATAATTATGTCACTGAAATTCTTTAGCAACTTTCAATTTTTCTGCTCCTTTAGGAAGGAGTTTTATTACAAGGTAGTATTGCATGTAAGTCTTATTAGGGTGCAAGTCTTGTTAAAACATGCTCTTTACTTAATTGTAAAGGCCTAAGGTGATGGTTAAGGGATAGAATCTATAGCCAGATTGTTTAATTTCAACTCCTGGCCCTACCATTTGCTAGCTATATCATCTTGGGTCGATTGTTTAACTTTTCAGTACTATAGACTTTTTCGTCTGGTGGAAATGGAGATATTAGTGGTACTATCTCATAGGTTGTAAAGGTTTAATGGGATAAATAAATATTGTAAATTGGTTGGAATGATGCTTGGCACAAGTGTTGTATACATAATGGCTGTCAGCTGTTAGTTTATCATGTTGTTACCTCCCATAGAACAGCTTCAGACATGAGGTGCCCATCCCCACTGCTGCTGTGTAGGTCTCTTTCCCACTTACACGTTCTGGGACTGTGTCTGTGTCAGAGGTGTCCCAGACAGGCCAGCCTAGGTTCACTGATTACCTGCGGGTTGGACGCACCTGGCTTATCTGGGTCATGCTTACCCAGTGAAGAGGAATTGTCCTGGGCCTCAAAAAAATAATATGGTTAATGTATGTAAGGAACAAAACTTCTTTTTAAAAAATATTTTTTTATTATAACACAAGTGTGTTCAACCCATAGACCACAGATTGAACACACGTGCTCTAGAAAGACTCACAGGACTCACATAGTCATATGTACACCTGAGATTTATTGCATCAAAAGGGTATGAAGCTGAATCACAAAAGAAAATGTGTATGAGATGGAGTCTGCAGGCAAGCAGCTCAAGTTTCCAGGAGTGTTGTTCCCGTAGAATCACACAGGCAGTCTCATCCCTCCAGCAACAAGTGTACACCGAGACTCAGCACCTGAGGCTTTAGCAGAAGCTGGTTAGGTCAGCGTCATATTATACCCAAATTCCAGACTCCCAAAAGAAAACCCATGTTCAGCACCAAACACATTGCTTACTCAATGAGCCACTGTTATTTAGGGAAAGTTTTATGTCAGTGTAGGCGATTGTTTTCCAGTTAAGTTCCCAGATGCTAGGCAAGGCAGGCAGGCCTTTTTAAGGAGTCTCAGGCCTGCTGCTGAGTTAACACTTTTCTTCTGGCCTCCATGACCTCTGCTAGGCCTTGTTTTAAGGGTAAGGGCTGCTGTAGGAGTATTATTAGTCCTGAAGTAAAGAAGAGAGAAGTGAAATAATTTTTGTGGGCTCCATTTCTCTCCATTTCTTTCATTGCTTTCTCCTTTTTCTCTGGGACAGTCAGTTTGAATTTCATTTGAAATGCAGTTGAAGCTAATTTCAAGCTTTTTCTATCAAAGATTCAGCATTCACGTGGGTGGTAACTTGTCTTAAAGGAGGGATTCATACTCCAGGATTTATCTGAATGTGTCTCAGAGGGTAGAAATCTGTGTACTGTACATAGACGAATATAGATCTCTGCAAATCAGCACTTTTTCTGAGTACAGAGTCTGTTTTTTTGCATACTCAGAAAAAGAATTTTAACCCTAAAGAAATTGAGAACCAGTGGGTCCAAATATTAAAACAAGAAATGGAGAAGAAGGAAGGAGAAGGAATAAGAAAAGTCAATCCAGCTTGGTTAGAATTTAGATATTTGAGGTCTAGGGATTTAGCTCAGTGGCACCACACCTGCCTCGCAAGCACAAGGTCCTGAGTTCCATCCCTGGTACCAAAAAAAAAAAAGAATTTAGATACTTGAAGAAATTATGGGGAAATAATAATAAAAGCTGACCTTTACTGAGTGTTTCTCCATGGCTGGCACTGTGCTGAGTATCATACCATCTCATGGTCTCACCAGCCTTTTGGTAAAAATTAAGTTGCTTCAGGTCCTATAGCTAATGAGTGGCAGAGCAAGTGTCGGGACTGTGGTCTATCTGACTCCAAAGCACTACTCATTCCAGGCTTTCATTTTGGTGCATGTATCTTAACAAGACATCTTCAGTCTAGTAAAATTAAATGTATTTATTTTTCCTCAAATAGGAACTGAAATGTATCTTAATGCTTTTGCCTAGGTTTATATATTTTGATAAGTATATATGCGTAATGTTCTTAAGTTATTTTACTTTCTGAATAATGTATTCTACTTTAAAACTTACATAAGCCTATATCTCACATTTATTTTTCCCATTGTTTAAAATAGATTCAACAGATAATTGAAGGAAAACTATTTCCAATGAAGGCTCTAGGTTATTTTGCTGTTGTAACAGGAAAAGGTATGAAAGATGGGTTATTATAATTTAGGTTTGAGTTTTTTGTTTTTGTTTTGCTCTAAGACAATACATTTTCTTGGTGAAAATTTTGTTGCTGTCTTTCCATAGGAAACAGCTCTGAAAGCATTGAAGCTATAAGAGAATACGAGGAGGAATTTTTTCAGAATTCAAAACTCCTAAAGTAGGTATCTTGTTAAAATATTTAAAGATTTTTACAGGGAGACAGTATCTTAAATTGAACTGTGTTCACTTAAAAGTTCATGTTTTGTAACCGTTAGTTTAATATTACATAGTGCTCTGTGTTTAATAAGTAGGTCTAAGATGCTTTTCAGCTAACACACATGCACCATGCAGGTAAGATAAACTCCCCCAGACATGTGAGCATGGGGGGATAGCATGCACTTACTTAAAAAGTGACTTTTAATAAAATTAATTAATTTTTAAAATTAAATTTTATTTTATTTTAAAAATATGTCTGTACATTTCTTACAGTATCAGGGAAAGTTGAAATAAGGGGTGTCAAAGGAATATCCCTGGATCGATATTGATAGAAATTGACAGAAAATAAGGCATTAACCAAAAAGCAAAAAGGAAGAGCCAAAAGGGCAACTGAATTACACTAAAATTTTTTATGTGGAACATCTCTGGAAATAGAAAAGAATATTTATCTGTAGATTAGTATCGTAAATCAAGATGGATCTTGCAAATATAGTTGGGAGAATTATGTATTGGGAAGAAACGGACAAGCCTATAGAACTGTACAATCTTATATTATAGTCACGAGTCCTGTATGGTAATTAAACTTTAAGATAGTTAATATTCAGTAAAATTTTAAATTCATTTCCTCAGTCATAGCAGCCACGCATTTCAAGGGCTCAGTATCCCCACGTGGCTAGCAGTTAAGTTATTAGACAGCTCAGACGTGGAACATTCTCTTCATCACAGAACATTTCACTGTGCAGTGTTGGTACAAAAGGTGTAAGTAACTGTTCTCATCACAAATGCACTCTCAAACTTGGTAGTGTTACTGTCCCTTTGTCACTTCTATATATTTTATATTATATTTTATTTTATATATTATAAAATATATTTTATATTTTATTTATATATTTTAGAACCAGTATGCTAAAGGCACACCAAGTGACGACAAGAAACTTAAGCCTTGCTGTATCAGACTGCTTTTGGAAAATGGTACGAGAGTCAGTTGAACAACAGGCTGATAGTTTCAAGGGTAAGTTGAAGTTTTAAAATAAACAAACAAATTTAGACATTTTATTAGCTGGAAATCTTTATTATGCAGATTTTTCACTCCCTTTAACAGTTGCTTAGGATTTGATTTACTAGTAGACAATATGTAGAAAATGGAAAAGGGAAAACCTTCCATTAAACAAGAACAGGATTTTCCCTTTCAGAGGGATCATTGCTGGGAGCACTTTGCAGAGTTCAGATCAGAAAGTTTGCAGTGCTGTTTGCAGTACAGCTTAATAAACTATAGCGAGCATGGGCTCCTTTTTCAGGGAGATTAGAGGGAGCATCTTGGGAAGCAGCCCCTGTGCCTCAGCTGTGTCACGCTCTTCCCCAACAGCTCCCCACACCGGACAGCCGGGCCTTTCCTTCCACGGTGTCTCTGAGGGGAACACACCCTCTCTCCTTTTCCCATCTGGAAAGTTTACTTACTGATCCCACTATAACCTCAGCAGCCTTGTATTACTTTATTCCTGTTTTTCGGAAGAGAAAATGGGTGCAAAGTAACTTACACAACCAGGGTCACACAGCAGATAGAGTTGATCTTAGTCATATGTCTCCATAGTCCATTCCTCATGCTTACTCCTGCCAGACTGCTGCAGCTGTGCATTCGTGAAGTGAAACTGGAGAAGCTTGAATCAAGACTACCTTTTGTGATGAGGAAATTCTGAGATTTTGAGAGCGTAGAGTACTAAGAATTTGTAGGAGCACTCTCAGAAATCCAGTTAATACAGAAGATAGGCAAGATAGCCATTGACCGTGATATCTGGAAAGAAAGAACCATCAAACCTGAACATTTTTCTTCTTCCTCAGCAACGCGTTTTAACCTTGAAACTGAGTGGAAGAATAACTATCCTCGTCTGCGAGAACTTGACCGGGTAATATTTGAGTACCTCATATATTTTGTGTGTGTCTTAATTTACTGTGTTCTAATAAAATTGATGTGGATGAGAGAAATATGTTAAGTTAAAATTGCTTTGGCATTGACCAGAACTATTCAGGAACATTTATCTCTACAGTAATTTAAATTGTTTATTACATAATATTTTAAAACAACTAGGAATCAAAAGCTGTCAAAAGTAGTGTTTAAAATGTATTCTAAGCAGGTAAAGAATATTCTTTAAAGATCATAGGATTAATGTATTTCTATAACTTATTTTTTAAATTATGCATTATCTTTTCAGCATTTACTTTGCAGAAATGTTCCCTTAATTTAGTGGGAACTAAATATTGCTCTTTCTTGATTTTGAAATGCCATTTAGCTATAAAACACAGAATTAATTTACTGTTACTAGTAGACTAAATTGTTATGTGTCCACTACTTTCACATAACATTTCTTATGTGGAAATCTTGTGTTAACAAATGCTATGTGAAAAACAACATTCAGAATTGAGGAAGGTGGACATTTGTATCAGTTTCTTTTACTTTATCTGGACAATGATATTCCTAAAAGAGAGATTAAAATAGAAGAGCATTTTTGTACATCCTGCATGTTCAAAGCTGTAATTAGCTCATCAGCCTGTTAAAGATTTCCTTCTGGTTACCTCTTAAAATCATGATAGAGCAAATTTACTTCCATTTTCTTATGAAAATCTTACTTCCTTCTATCTATATTGCCTAGAATGAACTGTTTGAAAAAGCTAAAAATGAGATTCTTGATGAAGTTATCAGTCTGAGCCAGGTTACACCAAAACATTGGTGAGTATTTGACTTTGCTGTTAGTCCCTGTCTCAGCTGCTTTACTATATGAATTATAATGAAATACTAAAACTTAAATTGATGAAACTGATTTATTTTTGCCTTGGGTCAACCCTCAAAGTAGACAAAAGCTAAAAGTATATCTATTTACAAAATAACTGCTGTTGTAGCAATTGGGAAGATTGCCATCTTGTGTCTCTCTTGTTGCTGGGACACAGTACCCAACACCCACAGCCTAAAGGAATAGAGGCTTACTTTGTCTCACAGGTTCAGAAGTGTCAGTCCATGGTTGGCAGGCTTAAATGCAGAAGTGGTGTGGTGGAAAGTCTCCCGTGGGGAGAGCTGCTCACATCATGGCAGCCAGGGAGCCGAGAGAAGGCAGAGCAGTGAGGGAGACGCACCTTCCAGGTCACACACCTCTGTCCGGCCCACCTCCTACCAGTGAGTTAGGTACCGCGGACTTCATAATTAAATCACCTTCTAAACACAGGAGGCTTTGTGGGCCCCTTTAGATCTAAACCATGACAATAACTTTATTTGTGTTCTTTTTACATCTGTATTCATCTTTGTCTTTTCTTTACCTTATACTTATTGTGTAATCGTGATTTCTGTAAAATTATTTCAGTAGAAGTTTCATAAAATTGTACTTTCTATTGGGACAATGATTGTTGTTAGATGAATCATAGAGAACAAAACAGAAAATTGGTTCATAAAAGAGCATATATATTTCCAGGTTCTCATTTTGAGTAAGAATAGTTGATGCTTTCTGTTAATTTTTTTTTTTTTTGGTACCAGGGATCAAACTCAGGACCTTGCACTTGGCAAGGCAGGCACCAGAACCACTGAGCTAAATCCCCAGCCCACAAATTACATTTTGAATTGAATTCTATTTAAGATTTTTTTTTTTAAATGACAAGTGAATGCATCCTTTTGAAAAATTCTCATGTGCGTCTCTCTCGTGTGAGTCAAACTGTCAATTTCTACTTAGGTTTTATAGAAATCTTAGCTTCTTTAAATATGTTGGAGTGCAGCAAATAGACTATATGTACTGCCAGTGTGCGGTGTATAGTTTTGAAGTTTTTGTGGTTATATTTTAATAAATTCCCATGCCTAAACTATCTTGCTAATGAAGTCTGTGTTTTAAAGAACTTACTAGTCTTGAAGCAGACCTGTACTTACCACCACTCATGGTAACTGTTTTCAGTACCGTTTGTATTTGCTCAGTTAAAGGTTGTCACCACTGACTCAAGACACAAGGGCCTGGTCCTTAAGTTTGAATTTATTCTCCATAGTTTCCTGATGTCGGCGTTGTTTCTTCCTCAGTGAGGACAGTGGTGATCCCTCCTCTGTCTTCAAGGAGGCAGGATTTGCTCGTTTTTAATCTCCTTATCTAAAAGAAGAGATGTGTAAGTCAGTTAGGTTTGGAAGTTGTAAGACATATACAGATAACTAGGGGTGTGTGTGTGTGTGTGTGTGTGTGTGTGTGTGTGTGTGTGTGCCTGTGCCTGTGCGTGGAGAGAGAGAGACTATAATACCAGTTGCCTGCAGAGGACTATAATACTGATTATGCCTAAGGCAGGCTGTAAAGAGTTAATCCCACAATTGGCTTGTTTGTAGAAGTGAGTCTGGCTGAAACTTACATGCCAGGGTCAGAGTAACTCGAACCCAAATTCCGTTCCCATAACTAAAACCTTCAGATTAGAAGGACAATGTTCTAATTACAACCATATATTTTGTCTATCTTGCTTCTAATTTGAAAATGCTTTGACTCTTCTCTTTAAAGCCTTAACTGCATTGGTTTCCATGGAGATTGCACGTACTGCACATCTATACATGCATCTTTTACCCTAATTGATGAATAATAAAATTTGTTGGAAGATAGGCCAGTGCCTTTTGCCAAAGGAGCATTGGCCATCCCAGTTCACACTTTCTCTTTAACTCTGTCTTAAGTTTTTCTTCAACTTTTTGTTGTACACTGGGCAGGTGGGACTGGAGACTTACTGCAGGAGTCTCTGGCAGTTACCTTTTTAGGTTATATGAGTTGTAAGACATCAAAAATGATTAAAACATTTAATGCTGTTTTTGATAGGAAAAATGTGATACTTCTGCAGATTAATTTCTGACATCATCAAATGGAAAAGTTAGGTTTTTTTGGACAGAGTAGCCCTAAAATCAAATTATACCTACACTGAAGCCAGCCTAGGGCATGAATGTCATGTATCTAACATGCAAGGTCTAAGGCAGTGATGACAACCGTTTTAGAGATCAAGTGCCAGACTACAACCTGAAACCCACTCATTTTTTGCTAAGTGCCAACACTGGAATTATACCTGTTTAGGAAAAACAACTCACACATTAACATCTTTTGTCTCAAGTGAAAAACACCACAACATGTGTGTGTTAGGTTCACCACCACTGGCCTAAGGGGATCGTAAAGGAATAAAAGCCCGTTGAAAAGGCAGAGGGAGAACCGGGATGCCTGGCTGCTGGAGAATAAGTTCTGAGTGCCACAGAGCAGATGATTCTCTGTCTTCTTTTCATCATTTTTTTCCCTAACTCCAGAGCTTAATACACAGATCAGACTAGCAAGACCTAACTGTTCTTACCACATTGAATTTAACTGCATTATAATAAACACATTTCATTTTGGTGACATGGTTGGTGTTGCCCTAATTGGTGTCTTTTTGCTGCATGATGCCGTATGTGATATTTTAGGATACCTGCCTGAGATGTGTAGGTCACAGGGTGTTTAATCTCCATTTGGCACCAGGAAGCAGTGCTGTAAGCACTTGAGGTTCTAACTTGACAATTTGTTACATATCTGTACACATTCTCCTATACTTTAGTTTGGTTTTAAGAAAGTTACTAGGGTTTAGATTTGACAATAAAGCATGATAGTGGTAAATACAGTCAGCATTTTCACAGTGTACCTGATTGTCAAGAATTGACTACTGATGTAAGCAGGAGATACTGGTGTATCATTAACATTACGTGACCATCAATCTAAATACATCTTTTCTCATAGACTAGCTGGTTGGCTTCATAGAAATCCACTCTAAATTTTTTAAATGGTATTATCATATGCATGTAATTGTGAAAATATTGTTTATTTTGATTTAGTTTATCAGAATGAGGGAAAAAGGGACACAGTTGAATGTTGTAACTCAAATTTGAGGAATCAGATGATTTTTAGTATCATAATCTTGAGATTTAAAGGGTGAATTGGTGTGAGGTAAAGGCAGAGGGGATGTTGCAAAGGCCAAGAGGTCAGAGCAAGAAAGATGACATGGGCAGCTGTGTCCCATGGGTTTTGCATAGATGGATCTAAGAGGCAGGAAGGAGTAAAACAGTAAGCAAGATGATTAAGTCTTACAAGTGACATTCAGAATTTGTCCACGAGCATGAAGAGGTTTAGGTAAGGTTTGCATTTAATACAGATCATTGTGACAGGGAGACGGGAATACTGGTGAGTACTAAGCAAGGAGCCAGTTGAATGCTGCAGTAGAGATGATGATGGCCAGAATGCAGCTGAAAAGGAGGCAATTTTTTGAGATATTTGAGAAGCCACCTAAAAAATAGAACTAACAGGATTTTGTAATTGAATGTGTAGATCAAGTTCATAAACAGTGAATAAACTGCATTGCTAGGAATATATGGGAACAAAGGTATATTTGGCAAAGATAAACTTAAAATTTTCACTATAGTTTTGTTTATAAATAGGACGATTCATGTTTTCTATTTGGAGTTACGTAGAATTTGTTTACTGATAGAGTAAATTACTATGTAGCCATTGAAAATGTGGATATTGACATGGAAAGCTATGTACAATATACTTGTAGGTTAAAAAAGCATTTATAAAACAATATGAATAATATGGTCCACTTGTATAAATGTGCACACCCATGTAAACACTTATGTAGGCATTATATGTTTTAATGATAAACTGGAAAGTGGTTGTCTCCTAAAGAGGAATTACAGAGGCATACTACTTTTTCTGACTGGTTGAAATTAAGTAAGTGCTCTCCTTTAAATGAAAAAAATTCATTTTGAAAAGATTTTTTTTTCATTAAAATGGAGTGTAGGTAAAGTTCTTGGGGATAAAACAGATAGATAATACAACTACAGTGTTAGGTGTATCTGCATTCTGTGTCGTCCTGTATGTTGCCCCTGGATGATAGCAGCAACGTGTGAGTCTGCACACACTCAGAGCATGTGGTGGGGAGTTGGTAGATGACAGCAACAAGCAGGACGGCACCAGTGAGATACAACCAAGCGGGTGGCCGCACAGTGGGGAAGTTCTGACCAGAAGTGGAGAACTGATAACCCTCAGAGAGATGGTGCAGTGAGGAGGATGCGGCTTCCACTTCTTAACTCTGAAGCACTTTCAGCTACTGCACAGCTTCCACTTCCCAGAGCTGCAGGATAGTCGCTGTCCTCGAGAGAGCCGGAGAATCCGAAGGTACAAAGGCCAGGGAAAGACTGAGAATGTAAGATGGTTTCCTCGTCATGACCCAGATCTTCGGGGCACAGTGAACAAACACTGCAATGGAGAAGAGCAGTCGGGGTCTGGGAAGCAGACAGCAGCTTGGTGGGGAAAGGGCAGGAGAGGCTGCAGAGGACAGGTGACAGCAGCTCCTGTCACGGATCGGAAAGCAGCAGGCTTGCTAGGATTGGGCAGTCTGGGTTTTTGTTACGGTTTACTTGAAGAGTGTCTGGGGCACAGCTTCCTGGCCCACAGACTTGCTGGGAAGAAATACCAGCAGGTCTGTTCTGAGGCAGAACAGGGGAGTCCTGCTTGTCAGAGGCTGGATCTTGGTCCATTCACCTCTCAGAAGTGTGCCTGCATTTGTTTAAGTTGTATTGGAGGCACAGGCCCTGGCAAGCACCTTTTCTTCTGTCTTGCTTCTTAAATTCTCCCACACTGTCAGGAATTCCTTCAGACCTCAGAGACGAAACCGCTTCTCACATTCTGTCATTTTCTGGTTGCAGTAAAAGACCACACGTTAGTGAGGTAAAGCCAGCAGCTAAATGCTTTGGATCAGGGGACGTAGTTTTACACAGACTGTTTAGTAAGCATGACGGGGTGGTTCACTGTAGACTCTGCTCACCCAAGAGAGTGCCGTTGGCCTAGGGGCAGCAGGGACATTTCTGCTACCCCGAGCACTGCAGCTGCATCCTGCACAGCTGAAGTTACTTTTAAGATTGACCATCTGATAGCCAGGTGTGGTGGCACACACCTCTGATCCCAGTACTCAGGAGTCTGAAATAGAAGGATCCCCTGGGGTACCTAATGAGTTCAAGCCCAGCCTGAACTGCATATCAAGACCCTGTCTCAAAAAAAAAAAAAAATTGACCATCTGATAAGTCTTACAGATTGGTTTGGGTTGTTTTTATCTGTAATATTCTGTTACAGTAAACTGTAGTTCAAAGAAAGCCGAATAAACATTTCGTTAAGAATTAAGAGTTTTTTCTTATAGTTATCTTTTTCTTAGAGATCTGTTTTTAAAAGATATCCTTTTGTATTTTTTAGTTTTGGGGGGGTTTTTTTGAGATGGGGGGGTCTCACTATGTAGTTCAGACTGGCCTTGAACTTGAGGGGGTCCTCCTGCCTCAGCCACTCAAGTAAGTGCTGGGATTACAGGTGTGCACCACCATGCCCAGATAAAAGATGTCTTTTAAGACAGTATTTTTTACTTGATTGTGTATCTTTTATATATTGCTACCTTAATCATGAAATGTTGAAATATTTAATCTACCAGTGTCTCATAATATCTCTGTGCTTTGTGATGTTGTCTGATAAATTATAAAAGTTTTGTCAAGTAGTTTTTAGTCCTGACCAGGTGTGGTGGCATGTGCCTGTAATCCCAGCACTCTGGGAAGCAGGAGGATCACAAATTTGAGCCCAACAACTTAGTGACAGCAAGACCCAGTCTCAAAACATAAAAAAAAGGTGGGGTGGAGACTGGCAGTGTAGCTTAATGCAGAGGTCCTGGGCTCAATCATCAGTACCACCAAAAAAAATTCAGTCTTGGACTTTACAATAAAAATGTAAGAATTATGTATGAGTTCTAGGCAAATAAGAGCATGAGAAGAGACTCAGAATTATCCATCATTGGATAGCTAAACCGTAGTGAGATCCCACCATAAACCTGCTAGATTAGGTGAAGGTAAATACTGATCATAGCAAGTGTCATCAAGAAGGTAGAGGGTCTAGGACCTTCGTTCTCTGCCAGCAGGAATGTAAAATGGTGCAACCATTTGGAAAACCGTCCAAGAGTATCTTAAAAAATTAAATATATGGTTCCCATGTAATCCAGCCATTCTGCTCTTATGTATTTATCCAAGAAGAACAAAAGCATGTATCCATGCAAAGATTTATAAATGTCCACCCATAACAGCTTTATTTACAACAGCCAACAACTAGAGACAGCCCAAGAGTCCATTAGGTGGATGGATAAACAAATTCTTATAGTGGAATACTAAGCAATAAAAATAAGTGAAATATTAATGTACACAACAATGCGATGAATTTCAAAATAATTATGTCATTTTTGCTGGATGAAAGAAGAGGAACAAAAAAGTACCTGAGTACATGCTTTGTGGTTGCATTCATATGAAATTGTAGAAAATGCAAATTAATCATAGTGACGGCAGATTGAGTTGTTACACCTTGGGGGGTTGATGTAACATATTTGCCATTTTGATTGCTATGATTCGCAGATGTACACCCATGTCAAAACCTTAAATATGTGCCACTGGCAATTCAATCAAGCTGTTGTTAAAAACTCAATATTGATTTGGTGTTCTTGAAAGAATATTTTTTTAATTTCAGGGAAGAAATCCTTCAACAGTCTTTATGGGAAAGAGTATCAACTCATGTGATTGAAAACATCTATCTTCCAGCCGCACAAACCATGAATTCAGGAACTTTTAATACTACAGTGGACATCAAGCTTAAACAGTGGACTGATAAGCAGCTTCCCAATAAAGCAGTAGAGGTTAGGATATAATTTAATTAAATGGGTAAGAAGCATTATCTGAAGGGAATAGGAGCTGAGAATTTTAGGTTTTATTCCCATCACAGCCATTATCTTTCTTTTGGGCCTTTATATTCCAATTATGCTTTGACCCGAATCTCTGTGTTGGGACTAACCTTAATGCTGCTACCAGTTACTGCTGCTGGAAAATTTACTGATGGGGATGGTATTTGAGGGCTTTGGTTCTTCTTCTAAAGATAATATTTAAGAAAGCTAGCAAAATGTGCTTCAATGTGAAATATTTTGAACTTCCATGGATTGAAATTTTATAAGGGAAATATTTAATGTATCAGTCATTTCATTTATTAGTATTCCACAGGGACTGGTTATACTGACATAATCATTTTCTTAGTTAGGATCCTGCCACATTAAACTAGGAAATATGAAAAAGTACCTTAAAGAACCCATGTTTGTTACCCATGCCTCTTGGCCGTCCTACTTAGTAGCTGTGTGATCTTTGGGCTGTTTGCTTTAATCTTTATTTCCTCATCAAAAAAAGAGTTATAGTGCCTGCCTCGCAAGGTTTTTATATGGATTAAATGGTTATGGTAATACCTGGTTATCTAGATTGGTCTGCCCTGCACATTATGTAGAATGGCTGTTCTAGCTAAAGGGTCAGTTGTCCCGTGCTCTGTGTGAGGCTGCTCACAGCATTGGGGTCCATGTTGGAGGCCTCAGTTTCTGACCACTCAGGTGCGACCTCACTCCTCTCTGGTCCTGCTCCAGTCCTGACGTGTTCACTCTGCTCCCGATTACCTCCAACTGCTCCTTCTAAGAACAATTGCAGCCTCTCTGCCTAAGGTGCACACTGCTGAGCCTTGGTCAGTTCTTGGCATATCTGGCCTGAGAAGAATCGGAGAGCTGCTTCTAGAGTGCACCGGCTCTCCTCACTGCTCCCCCAGTCCTCTGGACCCTGTCCTGTGAGCAGATGTTTTCATAGCATAAGGTTCAGGTGGTGGAAGTGGTCATAAAAAGTGCACTGATTCTGTGCCATGGCTCTTTGTGCCCTCAGCTATAGGTGCAGTGGAAGGATATTACCAGGTGGGGGTCAGGAGGTGTGGACTGGAATACTCACCCTGTCACTCACTGTGTGTTTTTGGACAATCACCTGTTTTTATACCATAATTTCTTTGTGTTTAAAATGAAGGTGGAGTTAATATTAAAGTCCAGTGTTTGAAAGCCACTGAATCATAAATAAGTAAGCTTAGTTTTGACGCTGTGCTTTCCCTTTCACTCTTCAGATAATTACAAGTTAGTTCTGAGTAGTACTTAGCTATGTTTGAAAGTTTATCTTTGCTTAAAGGCGAAGCTGTGAAGACAACTGACTTTATAACTAAGAACTGTTAAACCATTTTATGGTGTGGAAGAAGCAGGCAGACTCAGAAATCTTGAAGGTTGAAGTAAATGAGCAAACTGAGTGCGGAGCCAGACTTGGGATGCACCCCGAATGCAGGCGGCCTGCCTGGCTTCCCCAGGTCGCATCACATGGGAATACGGGCACACCATTCCCATGGTGCTCAGAATACGCTGGAAATCCATATACCTATGCACAATCTCTCAGGGTTTTGTTTTTTTTTTTTTGGTACCGGGGATCGAACTCTGGTCCTTGCGCTTGCAAGACAGGCGGCACAACCGTTGAGCTAAATCCCCGGCCCGTCTCTCAGTTTTTAAGTTGACAACTTTTTAAAAATATAAACCACTGTGCTTGTCTAACAGCATATCAGGAGACCAAATTTAAATCTGTTCCACCCGATGCCAGTGTGAAATCTCTAGACCACAGCTTACCTTTGCTACTTTTTTATTAATGTACTTTCATATGTTTTTTTCTGGTAAGCTGATTTACCACATCTTATGGCTTCAATTCATGTGTTATTTTTCATGCTATATATTAAATAAAAATAAGTTGTATAAATACAGCTTTTTCTTTTTAAATAATTCTAGGTTGCTTGGGAGACCCTACAAGAAGAATTTTCCCACTTCATGACAGAACCGAAAGGAAAAGAACATGATGACATATTTGATAAACTTAAAGAAGCTGTTAAAGAGGAAAGTATTAAGCGCCACAAGTGGAATGACTTTGCAGAGGACAGCTTGGTATGTCATTTAAGATATCAGTGTCATTTTCAAAATGATTGTTCAAACTGATGTTCTTCCATAGGAGGCTATTTTTATATGACTCTGTAAAAGTATAGAAACAGATTTATGATCTGTACTCAGACCTTTAACATTTGCCCTTCTAAAAACCACCCTCTACTGTTTCCTTCTTGGCTGCCATTTGAGAGAAAAACTACCACTGACCAGTGGGTGATAAATGCTGCCTGCAGAGAACTCTGCTACGCATTTCACAAACATCATTCAACTTCATTCTTAAGAGGCCCTAGTGTTGTCATTGCAGAGCAGGGACTCAAGGCCTGCTCTGTCTGATGGAAAGCCTCACTCCTGACCTCTGACACCTGGTAAACCACTACTGTAATTCAATTAGTCACCTGCTCTTCTCAGAGTCACAAGACACTGTCAGATGAAAGATTGAGCAGTTTTCTTGAAAAGTACATAGCTCACCATGAGCCAGTAGGTTTTTTTGTTTGTTTTGGGATTTTTGTGGTGCTAGGAATTGAATCCAGGACCTTCACACTGAGCTACATCTCCACACCACCCACCCCCTTGTTAGTTTACTTTCTGAGATAGATTCTCACAAAGTTACTCAGGGTGGGCTCAAATTTTTGATTCTCCTGCCTCAGCCACCCTGAATGCTGGGTTTAGAGGCATGCATGAGCATGCCTGGCTAATAATTTTGTTTTAAAGAAATGTTTGTTTTGATGTTTGAAACCCGTATTTATTTGTGGTAAGTGTCTTAGAGGCTGGCTTTCTGAGAGAATAGTGTCATTTTCACTCATTCACTCAAAAATTAGAAAATTAAAGCCTGGACTGGTAGCACACACCTGTAATGCCAGCTGCTCTGGAATCTGAGGCAGGAGGATTGCAAGTTTCAGGCAAGTCTGCAATTTAGCAAGACCCTTAATCTCTATATCAAAAAGGAAAAAGAAAGTTATGAAATTTGGAAACCAGGTTTTAGTTGTAACAAATAGCTACCATTTATGTCTAGACTTTTCAAGAATTTACTATGTAAAATATTTTTATTGCCATTAACAATGAGAAAATGATAATGTTTTCTCCTCTTTTACTTAGAAAATATTACTGCATAGTTCATATGGTAAATAGGAGAGATGAGGACTATCTGAATTTTTAACCTTGAATCTTAGGCTTCTGGGTATGGCATTGTGTGTAGTTAGATGGACAGTACACCTTTCTCTCTGTCTGTGTCTTTCTCTCCTAGTGAACTTGTTTAATTTGAGCCAAGAGAGAATCTGCACTGTTTATTTTTCAGATAAAAATCTGACAAGGAAGCAGGCATAAAAAAGGCACTCCTGGCCAGGTGTGGTGGCACACACCTGTGATCCCAGCACCCGGAAGGCTGAGGCAGGAGAATCGCCCTGAGTTTGAGGCCAGCAAGACCCTACCTCAAAATACCCAAAAAACAAAAAAAAAAAAAAAAAAAAAGAAAGAAAAAGGAAGGAAGGAAGGAAGGAAAAGCACTCCTGCATTTTTGTGGGAGGGACATAGTTTGTTGTCTTGGATATTTACTAAGCTGTCTGTTTGAATAAAATTTCTGAGGGGACAGAAAGCACACGAGGCTCTTCTGTGCTTGCCGTTGCAGAGGGTTATTCAGCACAATGCGCTGGAAGACCGGTCCATCTCCGATAAGCAGCAGTGGGACGCAGCCATTTACTTCATGGAAGAGGCTCTGCAGGCTCGGCTCAAAGACAGTAAGCAGGGGCATGGGCTGTCAGGCTGTCGGGCTCTGAGTGTTTGCAGCAGTGACACACTCTTCCAGCTGTAGAGAACATTTGTGAAATGATAGCTGACACCTAAAGGTCTTCGTCATTAAAAGTTGAATATTATTTGTGGGATTTTTCCGTCGTTTGCCTTGTAACTACTTAAACGGTTAAATAAATGGGCACGTGACACTTGCATGCATGCGCTCTGTTCTAAAATGTTCTATTTCAGAATATTTGTGTTTGCTACTGTACTTACAGGAGGACTCTACGCAGTTGTACTTTTCATAGCTTTTAAATGCATGCTGTTTATAGTTTTCTTATACATGTACCATATAATTGATGTCTTTATTCAACTGATGTCATACTGATATCGCACTTAGAAGTAGTAAAGAAGCTAAGACCATTCTTAGTTCTGAGACCATTGTATAGTTATATGTCCTTGGTAAATGGTAAAATTCTAATTAATTGTTTAAAATGTTTTGCTAGCTGAAAATGCAATTGAAAACATGATAGGTCCGGACTGGAAGAAGAGGTGGCTTCACTGGAAGAACAGGACCCAAGAAGAGGTGAAAGCGCGTCTCCGGCTTCATAATGATGCAGTTCGGCTCACTCTAGGGCAGGCCTGAAGCACAGCCTAGGATGGCTCTAGGCAAATCCCAAGAATTTCACATACCTCAGAAAGTGTTTTAGAAAGTGAAGTACCTGTGTTATTAAGAGAGATGAAACATGCCCTTTTATGGTCAGTTACTTTGTTCATTTCAATTCCCTATTTAAGATTTAAAATATCGAAAGTTATTTAAACAGAAAAATTCTCTGAACAGGGATTTCAGAGGATGTACAGTGAGTGTGATTAAGAGGGAAAGGGATATAATGATGTTTCTTTTAGTCTCTGGAATTTTCTGTTGGAGGACTACTTAAATTATTTTGTTTTTGGTTTCACTGCCTGCTGCGCAAATGTAAGGATCCGAGTTCGATCCTCGGTACCAAAACAAAAAAAAAATTATTTTGTTCTTTTGTATTTTTTGTTGCTGTGTTTGGAAAATATGTACGAAAATTCGGATGGGAGGTAGAATTGCAGGATTCATTCCTTTAATAGATATTTAATGAGCACTTCTACAAAATGATAAAGCTGAAAAATAAATAGCTTTAAAAACTAGTAAATTGCAGGCAAATGTAGAAGTCCTTAGAGTCTCTGTCCCCAGCTCCATCCCTTTTTATGCCTTCTTTTTGGTGGCTTCTTTTCCTGTCTAGCATTCAGTCCTGTGCTGCTGTGTCAGTCTCACATCCATTCCTCAAGTGAGAGAGTAAATAGAATATAGAATCTGCAGGTGAAGGAAGTAGTGAGTAAACAGAGTTGACATCCAGCCTGTTTTTTTCCTTTGTTCCTTGAATCCATCCACTTCGAGAAAAGGAAACCAAAAAATGGAAAAATTAGGAGAAGAGGTAAAGAGAATGAAAAAATTACCAAAGGAAATCTTTTTTTAACTTTTTTTTTTTTTTGGTACTGAGGATCAAACTCGGGACCTTGCGCTTGCAAGGCAGGCAGTGGTACCACTGAGCTAAATCCCCAGACACTGTTTTTATTTTAAATATTAATTAAATTATTAATTTAATTATGTGATCAATCTTCTATTATTTTCTAATTACCCACATTTTTTGTTTCATAAACTATCAGATGTCTCAACTTGCTTCAAAATAGTCAAGAAACCCTCTTTTTCTTCTCTTTCCTCCTCTTTTCTCCACCCTGCTATAATTTTTGTGGAAAATGAGTCCTTAAGAACCTGCAGGGAAGTGGGAGAAGAGGGCAGCAGTAGGGACTGGATCATGCCTGTTCGGGGTGCATCAGTTATCTCCACACTACAGCTGGGCTGAGAGGAGGAAGTCCAGCGGAGAAGAATTTCTAGGGGCTCCATCAGAGGTTTCTGGCTTCTGACAGGAAGAAGCATTAATTAGAAAGGGCTGGTGTAAGGCAGATAAACTCAAGAGAAAAATGGCATCTGGCCTTCAGGGCTCATTGAAATTGGGTCTAAAACCTTAGGAACAGTCAGCAAGAACAGAACTTGCCTGACAACTAGTGGTAAAAATGCTTTGGCCAAACACCTTCGGAGAGGAAGGATTCCTGGTTATGGGTTATTTTTCTCCAGAAATTGAACATAGAAGATTCGCTTCAAGAGAAGCAAAGGAGTTTAAGGTCAGTGCAGAGGATCTGTGAGCCCCTTCAGAGAAGAACCTTCTCCCCTAGAGTTTCAGGAAAGCATGGGTGAGACCCAGGCTGACTAGAGCAGAGGCCATGTTTGGGCTGTAGAAGGGAGAGTACATCAGAATCGCCCAGGGAAGCTTATATGTATCCTGTGTTTCCTTTAAAAGTTAGCATCCTATTGGACTCACTGAGTCAGTCTCCTTCTCTGACGTTGCTTCCCATCCTGCCAGCCCCTGTAAACCACTGTTCTAGACTTCTTACCTGGAGGTTACAGTGAGAAATGGGTTCTAGAAAAGACTGAGAATATCCCCACCTCATGGTGCAACAAGCTAGCTGTGTAACAAGTCCTTCTGCCTTCTGAGTGGCCAGATTTAGCAGGAAAAGAAATTTAAGATTTTCCTGTGTTAAGGACAAGAAATCTAAGTTCTGAACACTATTTCGTGTTACTTTTTCTTTAGTCTTCTAGAAAAATCCCACCCTTTGATACATTCTGGACTTACCTGACCTGGGAAAATGGTCAGGATAGATGGGAAAGAGGCTATGTGCCAGGTGACAGGAGAGGTGATGGTGGACAGCGAGCAGCAAAAGCACAGGCAAGGCGAGATTTGCTTCCTACCTCAGACTAAGTAGAAGTGTGTAAGCAAACAATGGTTTATGAAGTATTTCTTCTAAAGTGTCGTGTTTCAGAGTATTAAGTCATAGTTCCGTTTACAACCTAGTTTCTTATTCTTGTTTAAGTACTCAGATTCAGTAGGTGCAGTACTGTCTGGGACAGTACTGTTGTAACTTCTTTACAGTAGTAAGTGAATTGGAAGCTAACTTCTTTTATTGTACAATTTTGAATGAAGGATTGAAAAATGACAACATAAATTTAATTTGACACAGTATAAGAGTCTTGTTTTCAAACCTATAGTTATTGTGAGTGGGTTTTCCTCCTTTGATGAGATTTATGAACAGAGGCTGAAAGTGAATTTAAGAATGATAGCTACCTCACAGGTCTGAAGTATGACTTTTTAATGAATAGTCTTTTTTAAAGCCTCCACTATGCATGTATGTTTATTTAACCAGAAAAGAAACATATCAACAGGTGCAAAGTCCTTATAGGCATTTATAGAACATTGTCTTTTCCCATGTATTCAGGGTACTTTTTCCTAGACCCAAATTAAACCCTAAGATCAAGAAAGCAAGCATATAATAAGATACCTGGTGCCATAATTTCAACAGTAAAACATTGTAGCAAAAGTAAAACACACCAAATAGGGCTAATTCCCCTTTTTTTGTGTGTTTTCCCCTTTCATGAAGCAAGTTGCTCTGCATTCAGAGGCCACTTCCCCATATTCCTAAGTTGGGGTGCTGGGTTTCACTTATTTGTTGGGATGAAGCTTGTTCACTATTAAGCAACAGTAACATATTTATTAAAATCCAGAGTCTGTTTTTACAAATGCCAAATTATGGCCCATGTAAACAGTCCTCTCTCTCTTTAACATTTTAAAGTGTGTTCACAATGAAACCAAGAATGAACTGGAGAAGATGTTGAAATGTAATGAGGAGCACCCAGCGTATCTTGCAAGTGATGAGATAACCACAGTCCGGAAGAACCTTGAATCCCGGGGAGTTGAAGTCGACCCAAGCTTGGTAATAAACATGACTGGAAAACATGAGTCTGCTTCCCTAAGCACTGTTTCTCACAGCACAATATTACTTCTGTGTGTTACTCAGGTAGCTCGGGGCTTGATTTTCCTTTGACCGTGTGCACATTTGCTGATACAAAAACTTAGTCATTTTGATTGTGTGAAGGTTAGAAATTTTATTTTCACGGGACCGGGGATGTGGCTCAGTAGCACTGCACCTGCCTGGCAAGCGCAAGGTCCTGAGTGCGATCCCCAGTACCAGGGGAAAAAAAAAGAAAAGAAATTTCATTTTCAGTATTGCTTGTTAAAGGTTAACTTGTAAATGGAGAAATTTAGACATTGACACCTGGGCAAGTTCAGCTGCTCTTGTGAAAAGGAATGAATCCCACCCAGACCTCTGCACTACTTTGTACTGTTTCAGACTGTGAAACAGAATTCCTGTTGAAATATGGCTTACTTATATACAGATGTGTATGTATCTGTGTGCGTGTGTATGTGTTTTACAGACAAATGTCACCCACTAGAAAAGGGAAAGTGTGAATGTTTTATTGATTTTGGCTTTACCTTATTTTCCTCTTTTATGGTAAGTATAAAGATGAAGACAGTCTCTTTAGACTTTTTTTTTTTAAGACGGGGTCTTATTATGTAGTCCAGGCCAACCTTGAACTTGCTGTGTAGCCTACACTGGCCCGGGATTTGGCAGTCCTCCTGCTCAGCCTTTCCAGTGCTGAGAGTACAGGCATGTGCCCCCATGCCCGGCTCTGTAGGCTGTTTTTTGCTTCATAATGCTTATTTGTGACAAAATCTTTTTAAAAAACTTTCTGAGCTTTTGTTTCCTACTGCTTGGTAGTTAGAATGTAAGGAATTCAAAAGTTCATTTTATTACTAAGTGAAACTCAAATAAATATAGTGGGGATAGCAATCATAAAAGATTTCAGAGCCACCGTCATTTTTTAAAGGTTATCTGCTATTTATGTTTCTGTGCTTGATGCATGAGTTACTTACTTTAAATTCCACCAGAGATCAGAACATGAAGAGAAAACTGGTAAAAGTCAAAGCTGCTGCCTACATCCATGAGATTTTTAGTTAGATATGTATCAATATGTCCACATTAGTCCTAACTCCCATTAACAAAAAAGTTACACACTTGAGCATCCCTTATTTGAAAATGTGAAATCAGAATGCTCCAAAATCTGAAACTTCAGCTCCATTTTGAGTACTTGATATCTCTCTAGCTTCTTTTGTTCTCAGATGGAATTAATGATATTTGTTCTAACTCCTCCTTAACTACTATTTCTGTTCTCAAAAAAAGACAGTAGTTGTATGAAAGAGCATTGAATTTTCCGACAGACTACCTAGCAGTAAAGTGGTAGGGATCATCTTGATACAACTAATTAAATTCAATAAACAAACAAGAAATGTAGTTGGGTTGGTGGACATGGTCTGAGACCATGCCCTGGTCCTTACTTCTTAGATAAAGCTTGCAACATCTTTTGCCTTAGTTTTCCCACCTCTAACTAGGCAAAGGTAATCCCCACCCCATCTACTCTCCAAAATGGTTGACTGTAGCAGTGCTTGTTTAAAACATTGCAAATGTTAAAGGACATAAACTAGTAAATCTAATTTTTGTCTTGAAAAATGATGTAAGTAGATAAAAGGGACTGGACGAATAACAACATTGCTGTTGCTTTCAGTTAACTTTTTTTATAATAAGTTTTGGTTCCTTTTTTTTTTTTTTGAGACACAGTCTTGCTCTGTAGTTCAGGCAGGCTGGCCTTAAACTCACAGTGATACTCCTGTCTCAGCTTCCCAAGTGCTAGGATTATAGGCAAGCACCACCACACCCAGCTCTTTATAATAAACTTTGTATACAACTTCTGAGTGTGACTGATCTATATGAAGAGTGTACAGTAAGTCTGGCTTTTGTTTTGTTTTCTCATTTAGATTAAGGACACTTGGCATCAAGTTTACAGAAGACATTTCCTAAAAACAGCTCTCAACCATTGTAACCTTTGTCGAAGAGGCTTTTATTACTACCAAAGACATTTTGTAGACTCTGAGGTAAGGATGTCCCAAAAATAAGGGAAATTTTTTAACAACAGTTGTTTAAAGATGTATAAAAGTGTACTTTAACTGTATATATTAATTTAAGTCCTTTGATCATCTTGGAAAAAGTATATATAATTTATAAAGAATGATCTGTTTTTGAAGATACTTGCCACTTCGGTAGTTCTGGCATCTTCACACCTGTCAACCTCGTCCTAAAAGAATGTAAAAGAATATGTCAAAGGAAATGTCACATATACTCCCCTGACTTAGAAGTAATTGTATTTGTCACCTTTATGTATTTTTTTCAACTTTCCTGTACCATAGGGAGGGGATATGTAACATAACCACTTATTTGCATAATGGAAATCATATAGCAAAATAATTTTTATTGTTCATTCTTCATGTATCATAATTCTTCATGTTACTGCAATCTTGTTTTAAATGATTCTTTAAAAGAAATAATATAAACTTGGACTTTTCTGTTGTTTAACATCACACTTTACAAAGTAGCCTCTAGGTGGCAGCAGGCTGGCATACTTGGAGCATTTCCCCACAGGTGAAAATGCTTGTAAAGACATACCCTTTTGGAAAAGCACTCTTGGTCAATATTCTTCTTACTTACTTGAAGCATCTAAAATGCTTTTCTGTTGATTTAGGCAGCTTAAAGTAAATTTGTATTGAAATGCACCTATGTAAAAGTGACCCGTTTCTTACATAATTTTAGTTGTTGAGAAGATTTCTCTCAAATAAGGTTTTTTAAAAGGTCAATTTATATTCCTGTAAAGCTGAGTTTTGAAAATAGTGTGAGTGCACACAAGAATAAAACAGGTTAACTAAGAACACCTTTAAGATAAACATGGTTAACTAAAACTAAATACAAATTGAGGGTATATATACATGCCCTCAATCCTATATGCTATGAATTTCTGTGTACTTTCCAAGTTCATTTGCTTTGCCATTAGAATTAAAACAAAGCTATGTGCCAGGGATGTAGCTAAGAAGCATAGCGCTTGGACAAGGTCCTGAGTTTGATCCCCAGAACCAAACAAACAAAGCCATGTATGTGTGGGAGTAATACAACCCAAATCCTGCAGAATTTTATGAATCTTGACAGAAAGATTCTATATCTATAGTAAGATATGTGTTTTAGATAAACCTGAATATTTTGTATTAAATATAGGGGTGTAAGTACTGACTTTGATAGTTACATGTATTTATGATCATTGTTTTTATTTTTTTAATTACATCTGGGAATCTTAATTACGTAATAATTCAGCTGGAATGCAATGACGTTGTCCTGTTTTGGCGAATACAACGCATGCTTGCTATCACTGCAAATACTTTAAGGCAGCAACTTACAAACACTGAAGGTGAGCCATGTAGAGACTACTTTTTAATTTTGATATTTTTTTTAAAAAGATGCCCAGATACTTATTCAAAGATAGCTTTATCATAGCCAGACATAGTAACATGCCTGTAAGCCCCGCACTTGGGAGTCTGAAGCAGGAGGACCATGAGTTCCAGGCCAGCGTTAGCTGGGCTACAAGGTGACGTCAAGAGTTTAAGGCCAGCCTGGATTATAATGAGACCTTATCTCAGAAAACAAACAAAAACATTTAGAAAAACTAAAAATTATAATTTGCTTTTAAAATATTGAAAAGCAATTATAATGAAGAAATATGGCCAATAAAACATACTGTGTGTCTACGTTCATTACACAGATACTCTGATAGGAATGGCTCCAGAGCATCACTTGATGTTTTGAGAAATCTGCTCCCGTTAAAGTGTCGTGGGTTAAGAGTGGCCATTCTCTGTAAAGGTGTATCCGTTTCATGCTGATTAGGGTACCAGATAAACTGAGAAATTGAACAGATCCAACATGATGATAAAAAATAAGGGCTTACTGTCCCACACATGGCTAATTTTCTCATCCTGTGCATTCATGAAAATGGGCTCCCCATGTTTTTCATTTATTTTTGAACAGTTAGGCGACTAGAGAAAAACGTTAAAGAAGTATTGGAAGATTTTGCTGAAGACAGTGAGAAGAAAGTTAAGTTGCTTACTGGTAAACGGGTTCAGCTGGCAGAAGACCTCAGTAAGTTGCTCCTGATGCTCTTCCCTTTCACCACCCCCATTTCCATGTGTGTTCATCTATTTAGTCTCACACTTGCTGAAAAGTTCCAAGGACTCCAGCCTGCAAGGAACTTTTTTCTCTCAACTATTTGCATCAGATGCTGGCCTGAAGTCTTGTCACTTCCAAGTACTTTAATGTCTATTTCCTAGAACAAGGATTTGTTCCTAGCAACTTACTAAAACCAGTGTTAACACTGGTAACATGACCATATCTGATCCTTAGCCCCAGTCAGGTTTCACCCACCATCCCAAAATTATCCTTCCATAGAACAAAATGTTCAAGTTCATTTCCTCACCAGGAGACCTACTTTTAGAAAATAGTATTTAGAAATCAAGATCTGAGAATGACACATGCTCATTGTGATTGAAATATTGCAGTTGTGGGTCTTCTCAATAGGAAGAGGAAATAAATGTTGTATTTGTGTGTTAGTATGTATGTGTACAGATTTATCTACACACATTTATGTGTGTCCTGGTTATATATGCATATGTGAAACCATGAATTGATGCTGAGACTCCAATTTTAACCGAGTACTAGAGGATTTGTTCTAGTTTCTCCCCCTTTCCATATTTGTAACTCCCTTTTCAGACAGCAAGGGACCTGGTTCCTGTTATTCTTATTAAGTTTATTTATTTTGTTCAACCCTCTTTTGTGTAACCAAGTTTGTTGCTCTCCCTTCCATTGCAAAAATTTCGTGTCACCATCTAAGACTCTTAATCACTCCACACCATCAACTCCTGCGTTGAAGTTCCTCTCATCTTGTCTGGGCCTGACAGCCAAGGCCAGGCTGCTCCTGTCCATGGAGTCCTCTCCACAGAGCTAATACTCTGACCCTTTGTGCCAGGCACTTCCCCATCTCATCCTCTTTACCCTTCACACGTGCTTCCTTTCTTCACTGGAAGCCAGACCGTGCTTCTGTGAAGACATCCTCTTCATCCTGCTCATGCTCCGGTGCCCTGCTTGGGGCTGCCCCTGCACGGATCACTGGGCCCCTGGTCAGGCTGTCACACTACAGCAGGCCCCATGGTTTTCCCTATCCCTCCTACCTGATGACTTTGTTGCTTTGCTTGGCGTAGTGTTTCTTGAATCCTGGTAGGTTCCTAGCTTTAAGATTGATTTGTATACTAAGATTTATTTAGATCTTTGAGAACCCCAGGAACACGTTAAACATTAGTATTAAAGAAAAATGCTAGTAATTGTAATTAGTGCTTCTGTTCGAGGCTTCTTTGTCTTAAGTTTCCCTCCTTTCTACTTTATGAAACAAAGTATTTTTCCTTTCACTATGTATTTAAATTTGTTATTTCATGTTTTCTTATATCTAAAACAAAGCAAATGCTGAATAGAAACAAACTTTTCAAATTTGAAAATGTCACCACAGTTCAATTATAAGATTCTCCAAAAGAAACCAGGCAAGATTTTTCTATTTTATACATGTGTCATTCACCCTTTTTCATCATGTTCTCCCCTAGTTATCTGAGCTCTTCCCTGCTTTCTCTTTTTCTTGTCTTTTTTTTATTTTTTAAGTACATCATATTTTAACTTTATTTGCATTTCTCTCACAGTTTTTCATACTATTTTGGCAGCATACTGTTTGTTCCAGTGCAGAAGACTTGTTCTCAAATCTGAACTGACATTTATTAGCTGTGCCTTAGACAGGGAATCTCCCGGATCCTTTTCATGAAACACCTACCTACTGTCAGGGCAGTTGTTGGCAGTCAGTGCAGGGAGCACTTTGAGTTCCCGCTTCATAATTGCATGCTAAGGTAGTACTGTTACAGGAGGATGGGTGTCACCAGGATGATGTATACAAACTTTCTGTCTCCTTCCTCACGCAGGTACCAAATAGTGAGCTATGTCAGTGAATTTTATCTGGAGTATAAGTGATTGAGAGATGTTTTTGAGTGTCTTTTCTTGTACTTTTAGTTAGAGCTGGCCTAGTCCTATTTCTCTCAATCCTAATTTGATTAAAATAAAGAAAATATATTACTAATGTAAATATGTGCCCTGCCAAGCCAAGTCTTACGTTCTCCTGGTGGTTTTCCTACGAAAGTATTCATATGGCTCCTTGTAATGATATGCTGCTTTTATAGATAGAAAATTGTGGTGGAGTTAATGCACCAAATAATGTCTGTAGGAGCAAGGGTTTCTTTCCCCAGCGACTTAGCTTCACCAGTCACATGGAAGGAGATGAGCCGTGACGCTGTACAGTAGTGGAAAAGGAGTCCTGAAAGTGCCTTTTCCCTACTGTTAGTCTTGCATCTGGCATTGCAGGAATATGGTCATGGTTGCTTTCAGTCAGAAAACTCTCCAACATTAGCAGTCACAAGTATAGCACAGAACAAGGGTTTGAATAGAGCTTTTTCATTTAGAACAGAGAATGCTGGTTGGTAGAGTATGTTGCAGAGGGGCAATCGACTTATTATAATTCCAAAGTAGCAAAGGGCAGTGTAATATACAGATTATTAAAATTTTAATGCATCCATATTTTACCTGGTTTTAAATAATTTCATTACTTGGAGTATTCACTGATTATCTTCAAAGATAGTACTTAAGGAGTGGTGCATTGTTCTACATACACAAGGCAATAAGCCACGATACCTGTTGGAGTGAAGATAGAGTTAGAAAGAGAAAAGAAATGAAAAAACAAAACAAAACACTTCTCGGCCCAAGGAGGTTAATTGAAGAGGAGCCACGAGGAGGCTATCGTCATGGTTCCTCACTGGAGCAGGGGAGGACAGGATGAGGCCAGGGCACCTCAGCTGCAGAAGTGAGGGGGTGCTAAACAGGCGATGGGAACAACCTGGGAACAGCCGGCAGGACCCAGAGGCCTCATGAGGCTCTAACTGGCCAAGCCCGAGACACTTGCAGCATCAGAATAATAATGACAAGAACAACTTGTAACTCATGGAATAAAATAGGAATCTGTGAATTGGTAATTATGTAAATAAATGAATAAAATCCCTGATGAAAAATAAGATGTTTATATAGCCACCCAAAATACCTTCATAGAAAATGCTTATCAATTAAAAGAAGGAAAAGAATAATTTTACATGGAAAACCCTGACCATCACCACCATAATCAAGTGGTCGAGTTAACATCATCAGTAATGGTCAGATCAAAACTTGTTCCACTTTTGTAGAATGCAATGAGAAGAACCCAGCATCACAGCTGGGCATAGTGGTGCACACCGGAAATCCCAGAAGTCTGGAAGAGTTAGGCAGGAAGCCCTGCCTGGGCAACTTAGCAACTTAGAGAGACCCACTCTCAAAATAAATATAGAAAGGGCTGGAATATAACTCTGTGAATCCCCTGGATCTGATCCTCAGTACCCACCCACCCACCCCCCAAGAGCCCAACATCACTTCTTGGATATTCTTATTAAAGATGTATAACTTAATTCAATCAGAATACATTGGAAAAGCCCAATTAAGATTCAGTATACAAATAACTGGCTCATGTTCTTCAAATCTGTCAGGACCATGAAAGACAAGGAAAGCCTGGGGACGTGTTCCAGGCAGCAGAAGACAGAAGCACATGACCACTAAATGCACTGTCAGGCCCTGGACTGACTCTTTCTGTCTAAGTGAAACTTGAATGGGATCTCCCATTCCATGGTGGTAATACATCAGTGACAGTTTGAAAGTTCAGAGTGTTGCATTGAAATTACTTAGGAAAATACCCTTATTCATAGCTAATAAACAAGAGACTGTGGGTGATGGGACATAAATGTTTCAGGAAAATGTGTTCTTGCAACTTTCCTGTAAGCCTGAGGTTATTTTCATGTAAAGAATAAAAAGGAGGCCTTGGATTTAGCTCAGTGGTTTCCCTGCCTCCGGTGCAAGCACAAGGACCCCAGTTCGATCCCCGGTAACACAAAAATAAAAAATAAAAAAAAAAAGAAGCACGCATGGGTCCCACACTTAAAAAAAAAAAAAAAAGAATAAAAAGGAGTTTGTATCTTTAAAACTAATCATAGATTAGGGTCATGTGAAAATATTGTAGAGAAAAGAAGACTTGAAAACATGTTCTCTGAAGATGTGAAGGCAGGCAGCTCATCCTTCCCTTAGTTCCTTATTGGTAGCATCTGCTCCAAACCATCCAGGGTTTAAATACACCCAGTATGACCTTGAGAAGAATGTTTCGATTCTGTGGTAGGATTAATTTCAGAAGGTTTTTATAACTATTTAAATACAGTGTCAACTTAGATTGAAATCTCCATGGACTCCCAGTGTAAATAAGAGTGCTAACGTTTCTCAGACTGTTCATTTGTCCCCTCCCCATTCCCCAGGAACCTGAGTCCTGGGCACTGCTAACAGTGGCTGCTTGTGTTGCTTGTTCAGTTTAGTCAGTACAGCCTGGAATCTTTCACTGTTTGTTCTGTGAATATTGTATCAGCTATTAACTAGGCGGTTATGTTTGGAGAACTCAGGTTTCCTTTATGACTCTTGTCCACTAAAGCTCAAGTTATACTTTTAAGTCTCTGTGTAATTAGAGAATCATTGATACCCAGGAATTAGAAGGCATTAACAATCATTTAGATTGCTTTCTAAAGAAAGACTAAGGATTCTTTCCCTCTTTATTTTACAATACATTCCTCTTCATTTTTGTGTCAAAACTTGAAACGGAGTGTGAATTAATATTTGAATACTTTCAAAGTGCTTTAAGTGAATCATTTGATTCTCCTGAATGATCTTTTGAGATGGGTGCAGTCATTCTCATTTTACAAATGAAATGGAAGCTTTTACTAACACTGGCTAGTAAGTGTGACAGCCAGGATTTGAGCCAGGTCTCTTAAATGACTGTCAAACTAAGGGAAAAAGTCAAGCCTTTGGAAAATACAATTATCCAAAATTGTCCTTTATATTGGGGTGGTTCCGTAGTTAACAGTGCCCTTCACAGGGGAAGAAAGACACATATTGGTGCTGGGGGCCATTACCATCTTTACTGTCACCTTGTGTAC